CGTACATTCTGTGTATCAGGTCAATTTTTCTCTCTCTCTCTCTTTTTTAATATATCTTTATTGATTTGAGAGAGAGGAAGGGAGAGGGAGAGAGAGAGATAGAAACATCAATGATGAGAGAGTCATTGATCAGCTGCCTCCTGAATGACCCCTACAGGGGATCGAGCCTGAAACCCGGGCATGTGCTCTGACTGGGAATCAAATCTCAGTCTCCTGGTTCATGGATTGACACTCAACCACTGAGCCACGCTGGCCGGGCTCAACTTCTCTTCTTTCAGGATCCCTGGTGTGGGATGGCTCCTTGGTCACCTCTTCCCTGAAGGGGCTTTATCTCAGCATGTGGCTAGAAGTGAGGGTCTGTCCCCTCCACCCACCAAGCTACTATCTTGCTTTCCACTGCACCCTCCATGGGGAGCCTGTGCCTGGCCCACAGGAGCCACTCAGAGGACATGTGTGGAACACTGGAGCAAACTGGGTAGAATTCTAACCATCTGTGTCATCTCCAATGTGTGTGAAATACAAAAGATCCAAGACACACATCCTCCAGGCAGGAGGAATCTAGCCGAAAGTGACGAAGATTCAGCTTCCAGAAGCACTTGGCAAGGAACCAAAGCGTTTAAACGGGTGCCCTTGGGCTTCTGTCACTTTGTGATTTATTTTGGCAACGGTGAGTGGCCAAGGAATGTCACTCATTTTCACTTCAAGTGTGGGTGTACATGCCCACTACTAACGACAGGGACGTTTGGGGCACTGCTGCTCTGAGCATTGCAGGACATTGGGTGTCCCTAACGCCTCCCCCTGGTCCACCTACTCAATTCCAGTAGTGTCGTCCAGACAGGTGACAACCTCAACCAGGTCGAGGTGAGTGAGGCAACTGCCTGGAGCTTAAAATTCACAGAGATGCCAACAAAACTCAGTAATCAAGAGGAAAACTTAATTTTTAAAGAAAACTAGGTCAACAAACTATGGCCAACGGAACATTCACCTGGTTTCGTGAATAAAATTTTGCTGGGCTCGGGGCCATTGTTAGTGCAAGGGGTCTGAGGAACTTAGTGTGAGCACTAGGCCAGACCTGGCCTTTATTTATAATTTTGATATTCTGTCCATCATGGCTTTTGCATTAATTTAAAATTTGTAAAATATTGCTTGAGTCCTGAGATTTCTGGTATCTCCCCTCAAATTTTGTGCCCAAGGTGAGTGCCTCACTTGCCTCACCCTGGCTCTACTTGAAACGCACCATGTCTCCCAAGCAGCTGGTTGAGAAGCCCTGGGAGTGTATAATCAGCATGTACGAATGGTGTCCCTCCCTGTGCCATTTTACAGATTAGGAAACAGGCTGAGAGGTGTCTCTCTCCTCATGCACCTGCTGGAGGGTCCTCAGCCTCACAGGAGCTTCAGGTTGGAGGGGAAGCCGAGATAGAGACAGAGGAGGAGTAGGCAGGTCCTTTGCACCCACCTGGATCCCGAGCTCCAGGAGGGAGCAAAGGGATGGCAAAGGGGGAAGGAAGGAGGTGAGCAGCCATACTTGGGCCACCAGCTGACCTGCCCTAGGAAAGGATCTGAGTGGATCCCACACTCCAGCCTTGAAGGAGTTCCTTCAGTCCTTGGGTCAACGTTTATTAAGCACCTGCTATGTGGCAGGTACGGAGACTGAGATGAAACAGCCAGTCTGCCCCTAGTCTAATGGAAGATTCACGCATAAAAAATGTAGGTGCCATGAGGGACGGGTGCAGAGGGTGTTATGGGAGCAGAGAGGAGGGAACCCCTGGCTTAGGGAGACTTCAAGACTGGCTTCTGGGAACAGCCTGTCTTAGCTGAGCCTTAAGCACAGAGTAGGAGAAAGTAATGAGTCAGTAACAGGAGTGTGAAAGGGGGTGAAGGAGGAAGAGAGCTCCAGGCAGAGGAAACAGCGTGAGCAAAGGCCAGTAGGTGAGAAGATTTGGGAGGCAGAATGGGGCAGGAGCTGGCAAAGCCCATGAGAGCTACTGGGGACTGCTTGTGGCAAGGAGCTGGGGGGGTGGGACTGGAACAGCAGGGCAACTGGAGATGGACCACCAGGTGCCTTCCTCACAGGAAAAGTGCAGAGTTGAGCTGATGTCTACAGTGAGACACTCCTGGCAGCGATCAGGTACCCACTCTATGCCAGGCAAGGCCTCTGCCAGAGGCTCCGACCATCCTTTCCCTTCCATCCTGTCCTGCGAACACCATCATTTGGGTGAGGGAAGGGTTGAGGCTCATTCCCTAGGCTCCTACCTTCTGGTCCTGCTTCCTGCTCTCCCCCAGTTGTGGGATAAGACAGATGGAAACTGTTGAGGCTGCCAGCATGCTACGGCTCCTACAGTGACCCCCCTGGGTTTGAGTGAAACTTGGGAGTAACACTGAGGAAGCAACACCTGTGGCTTTGGCTGGGTTGCCACTTGCCACCCACCTCTAGAGGGAACCAGGGAAGGAGTTCAGACCAAATGAAGCTATAGGACAGACTTATAGGATGTAATGTAAGGCAGCCAGTGAACAAGCCATTGTGCACAGTGTGACACTGATGATAAAAGCACACAGGAGTTATAACTATCTTCCAGCTGTCTACATCGTCAGCTGATCCATAGCTTGGTCTGCATGAGAAAGCTGGAAGGAAAAGGAGAGGTTATCCCTGGGAGGGTAGGGTTATGGGTGGCTTTATTTTCTTTTCTATATTGCGTACATTTTCTACAAGGAATGTGTTGAGAGGTGCTGTAGAACAGTGGTTAAAAAAACAGACTGCCTGGGTTTGAATCCTGGCTCCCCAAAGTATACACCTCTATGATCTTGGGGAAGTCATTTAATTTCTTGTCTTCAGTTTCTTCACCCATGCAATGGAGAGATTTAATGATACCTACTTTTTGGGTTCCCAAGGTAAGAATTGGTGAGGAATCAATGAGTTCATATTTGCCATGAACATTTCATTTGCCATGACCGGTGGCTGGCACATAGGAGGCACTAGGTTATTGTTGAAGCAAAATTACTTTTATAGAAAATGCAAAGAGACAGCCTTGGCTGGTGTGGCTCAGTCGGTTGGAGCATTTTCCTGTACACCAAAAGATGGTGGGTTCAATTCCTGGTCAGGGCACATACCTGGGTTTCAGGTTCCATCCCTGGTCGGGGGCCCTGCAGGAGGCAACTGATTGATGTTTCTCTCTCTCTCTAAAAAAAATAAAAAATAAAAATAATAAACTTTTAGAAAAAGGAAATGCAAATGCACATTTAAAAATTACCCAATCTTTCTGAAAGGAATACCTCGGAACATATTTTAGTGAAATAATCCGTGGAGGCAGATTAGTTCACACAGCCTGTTTGGATTAGAATTAAACAAAATGTTCTTTGCATGCTAAGACAGGAACAGGAAGGCATGAGAAGTGTGTGGGTGGCGCTCCAGGGACAGTCCCCTCCCTGGTCTCTCCACCGTAGGGCAAAGGGGAAGGGCAGAGTTTCTTGATGTGGATTATCTAAGAGCATTGGCTGATCTTGCACCCCAAAGCTCCCCTTTGTATTTTCCCCTTTGAGGCACATGCTGAGTCACAAGCCAAGAGCCCTGACATTTTGGTTGGCTGGCCAGCCTCACCTGCTAGCCATCTGGCTTTTTGAAATACTAGAAATTAACTCAAAATAATTTCTATCCCTGTGAAGCCCTATGGGCCCAGGAACCCCAAATGACTACTGTTTAAGAAAGGGAATAACGCCCCTCTTGTGTTCGGATGGATGTGGTCTCACCCCGCGTGCCCGAGGGTGTCATGGTCCCAGCATCACACTCCCCCCTTTGGAACTACACGTCCCTCAGAGCCCGAAGGTGAGGGTAGCCCTCCTCTCCTTGTCAGCTCCTGATGGGGAAGGACTGAGATCCTCGGAGCTAGCAGAGCAGGCCCCTGTCCCCTTGGGCCACACATTCACACCCTGGGCATTATTAACTCCACCCCGTGATGTGACGCAGAGGCCTACAGCCCCTTGAAGGAGGAAAAATGAAGATTTGAAGATTTGGGAGGGGAGAGGCAAAATTTAGGCATTTGGGCTTGAAAGGTTTCTCCCGAATATCGGAGAAAGGTTTGGATTTCATTCCTACCCATCACCACAGGTAGCAGCCCATGGAGAAAAGTGAAGAGGTGCTAGACTGAGACCGCAGGAGGATCAGAGAGGCCCCAGCCGAGGTTGCTCGGAGGAGCTAGGGGCTCCCTGCCCCAGCCAGACCTCTGGCCCTGCGGCCCTGCAGCCCTGCATCCGGCTCCAGCCAGCTCCTACCGAGACATGGGGGTCCCTCACTCCTCCGAGAGAACAGGCCTCTGGGGGATGGAATCCAGGCACCCCCTGCGGGGCCCTGAGGATTTTCTCCCGTGAGTTGCCTCATTTCCTCTTCAGAGTCTCCTTGCTAGAGCCCCCATTTGAGAACTAGTGGCTGGCTGAGGCTGGAAATGCAGAGGCGGCTTTCCCAGAGGGGTTGAGTCCCCAGTCCCACTCCTGCCAGGGTCACAGGGCAGTGGCCTGGCCGGGGTCCAACTTGTCTGGCTGCACACATCCCACTGTGCAGGTGGGATGGCAGAGGCCTAGCTGAGATGAATCCCCCCTTTGCCTTCAGGCCAGCTACCCTCCTGGAGCTCTGTGGGTGGGCTGGTGGGCCTGTGGCCAGGCAGGAAAGCAGCTTTCAGGGAACAGGAGGTGCGCGGTGGTTTAAGGTTCGCTCGCCCAGGATCGCCTGTTCCGCAGCCCCCTGGACTATGTACTAACAGCCCTGGGACAAGCTCAGCTCTGGGCAGTAGGGTCAGCAGCCCAGCAGCCTTCCATTTGGGTCTGAGATGGGCCTGGGCTCCTGGGCTTAACCCCTCGCCTGCAATTAAGCCAGCAGCTCAGACAGAACCACCCCCGCCCCCCACCCCCAATCTGTAAGGTGCCACCTCTCAGTCTGGCCACCTGCGGGAGAGGAGCCCGGAGAGAGGCCACCTGGTGCAAGCCCCGTCCACTCTCAGGCCACAAGGCCTCTAGGGACGGGTAGGTACCCGGTGCTGAGTGGCCAGGATCAGCCTGGAGAACCACAGCCAGGGGCCTCTGATGGGGTCTGGGGGTGTCAGGAATGCAGCCACAGGACTGTCCTCAGCCCCAGGGACAGTGCAGCCTGATCAGAGCCTGTGACTGCGGCGACGGACGGGTCTGCTTGTTTTCTGGGATCCCCAGGCCCACCGGGTGGAAGGGCAGGTCCGCTG